TCTCAGCAAACCTCTAGTATTCGTGGTCGCAGCTGCGTTTCAGGCCCCCTCTTCGCTGGAACAGGTTTGCTTCGTCTGCTTCGAATTCCGGTGCTGTTGGATTCGATTCCGCTTCAAAACAATCTTTACCTTATTCACGAATTCCTTTGAGCAGGAAACTTAGCACACATTGCTTCAAACTGTGGTTGCGCAGTCGCTAGAGCGTAGAACGCACAATCGATAGGTTCCGAGTTTAAACCGTGGTCCAGATCGCTCGCCGTTCTTCCTTCCGAGGTTGATAAATAAGCACCTTTCCGTGGGAAGGAAGCAGAAGCCTATACGCAAAGCTTGCCACATAGCTGTAGACCCAACCTTTAAAATGAGGCACTCCTGGCTAACGGCATAGAAACGGAGATATACTGCTGTGAGACGGAAAAACGTTGCCGCATTGGGTGTGATCCATATCCACATTCTGTCGGTTTTTTCTTGAGTCAACTGTTGCCAATATGCGCGTGTTTCATTTCTGCCGTGGCCATATGCCGATTCTACTAGTTCATTGCACTTTCCGCGGCCGTACCTACCGAAGAATTTTTCACCAACCCTTCCTTGTCCGACCTTAGAATTGAAGTCTCCCATGACGAGGGTGGACATGGACTTTGGCACCAGTGCCTGTCATAGTTTTTGATAAAATTTTTAGACTTCTTTCTCGTCGGTGATAATTGTGAGGAAACAGGTTTGCACGATCTTCAAGGTCCTTCTCTTGTTTGGCTGAAGGCACAGCACGCCTAGTCTTGGTGACTTTACGTTGCAAAAACAATTTTAGAGGACCGGCTTTAACGTACTACAAACCTGATTCAATTTATACTATTTACGCCCTCTCCTATTTCTAGCCAAATCAACCTACTGTCATTCCAGACGCCATTAATCTCCTTTCACTGTCACGTTTCGCCGAGACCAAAGGATGTCGCAACCGTCCTTGACCTTTCCTACACTCGTTTATTTAATGTTTCCTTTCTCACAAATGTTTTACAGTTGAAGGTGCAATGTGCGAAGAAAGTCTGGGTTCGTTTACCAGATAGCGGCCTTTCACGTTGTGTTTTTAGGAGTCGCTCGTCAGTCGAGCCCTTAACAGCCACAGCGGAGCGAGTCGAGACACGCACAGAGTAGGGAGACCCACTTACTGATGTTGCCACAGCGCATTAAGTTTTGCAACTCGCTTACAGGGCTGACGATAGCATGGAGAACTTCGCAAAGGCAGGCTCCAAAATTCCGTCCGGTTTTTATGGAAGTTATCTCCTCCAGTTTTTGACGAACCTTACCGCAAGGCAATGGTGACATTTTCAGACTTTTTTCGCCTAAAGGGACGGCCGTTTTCGCATTCATGTTACTGTCATTCAGCCATTTGACATTTTCTCAGAGGATCAAACTCTGTCAAAGCCAAGCTCTCGTGATCTTGTCGCTGCCTGTCCGTGACTGCTTATTTTTCGCAGCTAACCTTAATATCTGGAAGTCGTTCCCTCATTCGCCACCCAGGCATACACCAAATGGTCAGCAGCTAGGCACGCTGATCCTTCATACATTTCTTTCAAAATGCAAACGACGTGTTCAGGCATCCCATAGCGTTTCAAGACGGATGATGTGAAGAATCAAATGCATTCACAGAATCGAGGAATCTGTCAACAAAGACGTAAGAGCTTATCTGTAATATGTTTTATCGCTGACAGGCAACTTACTAACGAACCGTTTTGTTTAGCTAACTTTTTGTAACCAAAAAATCCATCTTCCAATTTTGTTTATAGATTGCTTTGTCCTAATGATCGTTAATACTTTGCTAATGTTGGATGACTTAATATAAGTTCCTACCATTTCCTTATCTTTCGGCATGAATCGACCTTGGAATAAAAAGACAGTACTCAGATTCCGTTACTGGATGCTACTCTCATATGATCTGTTTGATTTTTTAGACGATGGAACGGTCGAAACGCTGCGGCCGCCCAGCGTGAGTTGAATTGTATCGTGTCTCTTACCTAAAGTCGCAATGACTGTGATTATGACCTTATGATCCACCTGTAAAAGCTTTAGGAAAATCTGCGTAGATTTGATTATCAGAACCTAAGCTGATTGTCAGTAGAAACGGAAAACCTGCAGCAAAACATTGTGCTAATATTTTCATTATACGGATATCAGTATAGCTGCATAATCTGAATCTCTTGAAAATTACTTCAACACACAATACAATTTTAATTTGGTATCGAAAGCCCTCTCAGAATATCGGGGTTATTTTTTTATCACTAGTTCGTTTACAGATCGTGGCAATGTTTTTTTGCTGAATATACTTTTGTTAAACCAAAGTTTGAGTCGCAGTCCTGCGTCCTACGCACAGCAAGCGATTGAATACCATGGAGCCTTGGCCTGTTTAAATGATACCTTTAGGCATCTAGATGCAAAGCGACGATGCAACAAAGCTGCTGGTGTAAAGTGATAAATATATTTTTCCTTATTTATGCTGTGCATTTCCGCCGTTTCAATCCGGTATCATTAATTTTAATGTAATTTTAATTCATTG